AAGGGCTCCGGGAAGGGGGCTCCGGCAAGCGGAGGAGCGCGTGGACAGTGCCCGGCCGGCCGTCGCGGCAGACGGGTCCTCCCGGGTCCTCTCGGCGCGTCTCGGCTAGTCGCGACCGCTCGTAGCGGTAGACGGTGCCAAGCTCCGCCCAGCGGAGCGGCAGGTCGCGGTACGAGCGCTTCTCGTCCTTGTAGGTGAGCACCTGCTCCCGACACACCCCTCGGGTCAGCCTCGGGGGCCGGCAGGGGGAGGGGGCGGCCGCGCGCGTGCGCGTGGGATGGGTTGGGGTACCGTGGGGGTAGGGGACGGGTCGCACGTGGAAGGGGCAGTTCATCGGCTTGATCTGGTACTGCGCCCCCTCCACCTCCATCTGGTCAAACATGCCGTCGGCGTAAAAGTCGAAGTGGCCGGACGTCTTCCACAGGTCGAGCGACGCCATGTGCGGCGTGTAGAGCAGCTCGTACCCGCCCGCCGTGTGAGCCTCGCGCCAAAAGTCCTCCATCAGCCGCCGCACCTATGTATACAGCGCCACCTCGTGAGCTGTCCTGTGAGCTGCGTGCTGTGTGTCCAGCAGTCCGGACCCGGTGCTACGGCCGGTGACAGTGCGCCTCGTGTCGGCTCCCGAGCCAATCGTGTGCAGCGTGTGTGTGTGCGTGTGGGCCCGTCCTCCATGCTTGGAGGTGTGTAATGACTGACAGCCGCCGCACCCTCGCGCCGCGCGGGTGCCAAAAGACGAGGCCGCCGCCAGCCTCCTGCTGGATGGAGAAGAGGCGGAGCTGCTTGCCGAGGGCGCGGTGGTCCCGCCGCTTCGCCTCCTCCTGGATCCGCCTGTGCTCCGCCAGCTGCTCCGCGCTCTCCCACGCGGTGCCGTAGATGCGCTGCAGCATCGGCCTCGCCTCGTCGCCCCGCCAGTACGCGCCCGCGATCGACTCGAGGTCGATGGCGTCCTTGGGCAGCTGGCCGGTGTGCTCGACGTGCGGGCCGGCGCAGAGGTCCCACCAGTTCGCCTTTTGAGGGCGAGGGGCGGGTGCGGAGGGCGGAGGGCGAGGGCGAGGGCGAGGGCGAGGGGTGGGGTGTGTCGTGGCCTGTGTCGTGGCCTGCCGGCGGGGGGCATGTGGGAGGGCGAGCAGAGGAGGGCAGTGGGGTGGGGTGGCGTCACAAGTGAGGGGTGTGTGGTGGCGCGCCTTGCCGGGCTCCCCGATGTGGAAGATGGTGATGGGCGCGTCGGGGTCCTTTGCGACGATCGAGTCGAGGATCTCCAGCTTGTACGGCTCGTCCGCCGCCTCGATCCGCGCCTTTGCCTCGTCGAAGCTCAGCTCCTCGCGCCTGCGGCGGGAGAGGACACGCCGAGGCGAGGCGCGGTCGAGGTGCGGCCGAGGTGCGGCCGAGGTGCGGCTCAGGCTGCCGAGGTGCGGCTCAGGCTGGGGCATGCTGTCGCGCCGGAACGGCAGCTTGAGGCCGATGAGCTTGTCCATCTCCTTCTTGATGCGGCGCAGGTCCTTCTCCGCAAAGGGCTCGGGCCGGTCGAAGTCGTAGTAGAAGCCCTTCTCGATCCACGGCCCGATCGTCACGCGCGCGTCCTTGTACAGCCGCTGCACCGCCATCGCCATGACGTGCGCCGTCGAGTGCCGGATGCGGAGCAGCTGCTCGTTAGCGTTGGTCGGCAGCGTCACCGGCGCGGGCGGCGCCGGAGCCTCTGCTACCGCGCTCTGGTCTGCCATTCGCAGGCCGCTGCAGCGACGGCTGCCCATGGCCGGTGCTGCGAGCAGGCGCGGCAGAGCCGCTGCCGCACGCCCGCACGTGCTAGCCGGGAGGCGGCGAGCTGCTGCGGCAGCGTTGAGGGCGGCCGAGCGGGCCAGCAGCGCCGACATCAGAAAACCGCCTAAACTGAGGCCAGGCAGCAACCGCATGCAGGGATGAGCGGACTGGAAGGCTGAAGCGGAGCAGCGAGCGAAGGCAAGAGCTCGCCGCAGCTTCCAAGAACGCGGCGCGATTTTCTTTTTAATGAGCTTAGCCTTCGATGTTGAAACAAAGCAAGGCGGACATGGCATATCGCTCTCGGGCCCACAGACGTCCCGCACGAATTTCTTTTCGAAGAAAAAAGAAAGCGCGCTGCTGCTCACAGCCGACGGCCAAAATAGGAGCGGTGCGCAATCACGAACTGGCTCGCGTGGCGTGAACACAACGTGTCGGCATCGCGCCTCGCCCTCGGGGGAGGGGAGGACCGGGAGATGCGGCCCGAGGCCGAGCACTGATTCTCTGAGACTCGCTGTGTTTCTTTCCTTACCCTGGCCAGTGTTGTACAAAAAAGAAGCGCAGCGGGTGAGGAGCAGGATCGCCACGCGCGAGACCCGGCCTCAAGCTCCGCTCAAGTGCCACGGGGCGTGGTGCTCCAGGTAGCACAACACCTCCCCTGGCGTCATAGCTCGTTCGTACTCCATGGTTTGAGGGGCGAGTGATGCGTCGTCTTCCGCCCGCTGCCCCGTGTCAAATTCGAGCACGATCACGCGCCAGGTAGAGTCATCCGCAAAAGTTGGATTGATCTGCGCAACGGAGTGCTGCGAGTCCCACTCCTCGCTGAGGCGCATGGCGCCCGTGGTTGGGAGTGTAATCCCCACACGGGGCTCCCCGTCGGCTCCTGCCGGCCACACACACTCCAGCGCAAACAGATAATCGCTGAACTGCGTCTTGCACGGCGGGAGCGGCGCCACGGGCAAGTACTCCGCTCTTTTAGCCTGGAGCTGCGCGCGGTAGAGCGTGTAGCCAGCGACCGGGCCTGTGGCATGCTTCACAATAGCAGCGGCCCTCGGGAACCGCGCCAGTGCAAATGCGTGCCATGTGGCAGCCGGTCTGTGACTTGCGCTCCCGCAGCGCGGACGGCATCGAGCCACGTCTTGCAGGATGGTGGCCTGCATTGCCACGAACGTGGGCGCGCCGGCGTGGGTCGCAACCACCACTAGCAGCCCAGTTTTTTTCTTTTTTGGTGACTCTTGAGCGATTCTAAGATCAGGTCTGCCACCTCCCCGCTGGAAACGAAAATCTAAGTTACAAATCTCGAATAAATCTCGAAGCACACTTGAATGCTCACTTGGCAGGTAACATATGCGCCACGCGCCCCAAACGCTCCTCTGGTCGCCGACGGCCTCCGCGGCGGCGGCGATGTCCCAGCGCCACCCATCGGCCAGCCCTCAGATCGATCGATCGGCGCTCAAAGTCGGCTTCAGATCCGAGAACGCTGCTGGCGCCGCCGCCGATCCCAGCGGCGACGCCAGCAGCTTCCTCTGCTCTCCAATGCGCCGAGAAGCGACGCGGGGGTGCTCGGCCCGCCATGCACGACGAAGGCTCCGCCGGGCGCGCGTCGGCCGGTCCGGTGGCACCCTCTGCGCGCGGCACCTGCCGGCGCCCCGACGACAGCCGTCGCGCCACCGCTGATGGAGGGGCGGTCGGCGCCGCTGCCGCCGCGCTGCCGGTGGGAGGGGCACTGGTGGTGGCCTGGGCGGCCCTCCGCCGCCGCTCGGGGCGCCCGGGCAGCGGTGGCAGCCTGCCGCCGCACCACTTCGAAATGCCCGCTGACCACATTTAGCTCCGAGAGGTTTGGTCGGTGTGGAGCGGAGCCCGTATTGTACGAGTAGGCCTGTCGATCGCGACGGCCTTGGTTCCCACCTCCCGGCCACCTGCAGCCCGCTCGCAGGTAGCCATCCGATAAGCCATTCACAGCGACAGCTGTGACGGCGCCTCACGTGCTCGGCTTTCACAAAGTCGATCGCCGATCTCCTTGCTCGCGAGCGATGCACACTGCCCCGCTGCGTTTGCTCGCTCGCTCACACTGCACGATTCGCCCCTCCCGCCACACCCTGCGAACCGTAGGTGGTTGGGCAGGCCCCTTCGGGCCCAGCATGCATAGCCGGCGCGCTGCCTGCAGCCGGCCCACGCCGCGAAGAGCCCGCTCGCCCGCGCCCCAGCCCCACCAGCCCGCGCGACTTCGTTGCCTCAGCGATCTGCCGAATTGCGAGCACGATGCGATCTCACCATGTGACTGAGACATGGTTAGAGGCGCTAGCCTCCGCTGCGGATGGCGTGTGCGACACGACTGCGCCCGTGGAGTGACACCATGTGACTGATACATGGGCCAGCGGCGTCAGCCACCGCTGCCGAGCGGCAAGTCCAATACACGGCTGTGTGCCCGTTGCGGGTGTAAAAGCGCGTGTGACACCGTGTGTATGATACACGGTCTAACTGCGTTAGCCACCGCTGCCGAGCGGCAAGTGCGACACACCCGACCCGTTGCGGGCGGCGGCTGAGAGCCATTGCGCGCACAGCTCGACTTGTGCCGCTGCCTGGCACTTTAGCGAGATGAATAATCTCTCGCTCAAGAGATGAGACAATCTCCCTGCCGAGCTCGTTCACACCGCGTGTTCACAGCTCGACTTGTGCCGCTGCATGGCACTACAGCGAGATGCTAATCTCTCGCTCAAGAGATGAGACAATCTCCCTGCCGAGCTCGTTCACGCCGCGTGTTCACAGCTCGACTTGTGCCGCTGCATGGCACTATAGCGAGATGCTAATCTCTCGCTCAACAGATGAGACAATCTCCCTGCCGAGCTCGTTCACACCGCGTGTTCACAGCTCGACTTGTGCCGCTGCATGGCACTATAGCGAGATGCTAATCTCTCGCTCAAGAGATGAGACAGTCTCCCTGCCGAGCTCGTTCACACCGCGTGTTCACAGCTCGACTTGTGCCGCTGCATGGCACTATCGCGAGATGCTAATCTCTCGCTCAAGAGATGAGACAATCTCCCTGCCGAGCTCGTGCACACCGCGTGTTCACAGCTCGACTTGTGCCGCTGCATGGCACTGTAGCGAGATGCTAATCTCTCGCTCAAGAGATGAGACAATCTCCCTGCCGAGCTCGTTCACACCGCGTGTTCACAGCTCGACTTGTGCCGCTGCATGGCACTATAGCGAGATGCAAATCTCTCGCGCGCGAGGTGAGACAATCTCCCTGCCGAGCTCGTTCACACCGCGTGTTCACAGCTCGACTTGTGCCGCTGCATGGCACTATAAGCGAGATGCTAATCTCTCGCTCAAGAGATGAGACAATCTCCCTGGCTGCCGAGCCCGTTCGCACCGCGTGTTCACAGCTCGACTTGTGCCGCTGCATGGCACTATCGCGAGATGCTAATCTCTCGCTCAAGAGATGAGACAATCTCCCTGCCGAGCTCGTTCACACCGCGTGTTCACAGCTCGACTTGTGCCGCTGCATGGCACTATAGCGAGATGCTAATCTCTCGCTCAAGAGATGAGACAATCTCCCTGCCGAGCTCGTTCGCACCGCGTGTTCACAGCTCGACTTGTGCCGCTGCATGGCACCATAGCGAGATGCTAATCTCTCGCTCAAGAGATGAGACAATATCCCTGCCGAGCTCGTTCACACCGCGTGTTCACAGCTCGACTTGTGTCGCTGCATGGCACTATAAGCGAGATGCTAATCTCTCGCTCAAGAGATGAGACAATCTCCCTGCCGAGCTCGTTCACACCGCGTGTTCACAGCTCGACTTGTGCCGCTGCATGGCACTATAGCGAGATGCTAATCTCTCGCTCAAGAGATGAGACAATCTCCCTGCCGAGCTCGTTCACACCGCGTGTTCACAGCTCTCGACTTTTGCCGCTGCATGGCACTATAGCGAGATGCTACTCTCTCGCTCAAGAGATGAGACAATCTCCCTGCCGAGCTCGTTCACACCGCGTGTTCACAGCTCGACTTGTGCCGCTGCATGGCACTATAGCGAGATGCTAATCTCTCGCTCAAGAGATGAGACAATCTCCCTGCCGAGCTCGTTCACACCGCGTGTTCACAGCTCGACTTGTGCCGCTGCATGGCACTATAGCGAGATGCTAATCTCTCGCTCAAGAGATGAGACAATCTCCCTGCCGAGCTCGTTCACACCGCGTGTTCACAGCTCGACCTTTGCCGCTGCATGGCACTATAGCGAGATGCCAATCTCTCGCTCAAGAAATTAAGCAATCACTCTGCCGAGCTCGTTCACACCGCGTGTTCACAGCTCGACTTGTGCCGCTGCATGGCACTATCGCGAGATGCTAATCTCTCGCTCAAGAGATGAGACAATCTCCCTGCCGAGCTCGTGCACACCGCGTGTTCACAGCTCGACTTGTGCCGCTGCATGGCACTGTAGCGAGATGCTAATCTCTCGCTCAAGAGATGAGACAATCTCCCTGCCGAGCTCGTTCACACCGCGTGTTCGCAGCTCGACTTGTGCCGCTGCATGGCACTATAGCGAGATGCTAATCTCTCGCGCGCGAGATGAGACAATCTCCCTGCCGAGCTCGTTCGCACCGCGTGTTCACAGCTCGACTTGTGCCGCTGCATGGCACTATCGCGAGATGCTAATCGCTCAAGAGATGAGACAATCTCCCTGCCGAGCTCGTTCACACCGCGTGTTCACAGCTCGACTTGTGCCGCTGCATGGCACTATAGCGAGATGCTAATCTCTCGCTCAAGAGATGAGACAATCTCCCTGCCGAGCTCGTTCACACCGCGTGTTCACAGCTCGACCTTTGCCGCTGCATGGCACTATAGCGAGATGCCAATCTCTCGCTCAAGAAATTAAGCAATCACTCTGCCGAGCTCGTTCACACCGCGTGTTCACAGCTCGACTTGTGCCGCTGCATGGCACTATCGCGAGATGCTAATCTCTCGCTCAAGAGATGAGACAATCTCCCTGCCGAGCTCGTTCACACCGCGTGTTCACAGCTCGACTTGTGCCGCTGCATGGCACTATCGCGAGATGCTAATCTCTCGCTCAAGAGATGAGACAATCTCCCTGCCGAGCTCGTGCACATCGCGTGTTCACAGCTCGACTTGTGCCGCTGCATGGCACTGTAGCGAGATGCTA